GTATTTTTCATTAACAGTACAAAACTGTAAAGTACGCGACAGTAAAAAGATGTTAATTTTACAGTAACATAATGGCAACCCAGCTGCCAGTTCTTTACTGTTTTTTTACAGTCCATACTGATTTTTTCATTTACAGTACAAAGCTGTAACTTTCAGTAACAGTAAAAAGATGTTAATTTTACGGTAACATAATGGCAACCCAGCTGCCAGTTCTTTACTGTTTTTTTACAGGAAAATTTCTAACAGTGTTGACAATAATATCATTTATCGGCAATAATTCGTATGACAATATATTGTCCAGCAAAATTTGTTATCATCCCAGGCCTACTCATGTGCACCCAAGTAATATATACACAGAGACCAAACAACTTCTTCCTGCCTGTGCAGGGCAGTAAAAACTATTCTGAAGTCCAGTGAAAAGGCAGGATTCCTCCTGGGGTTAACGATGGCTGTGGCAGACTGGGAAGGTTCGAAAAACACTTTTGGAGTTTCAGGGGTTAACAGCGTTGCAGCCAAATCCTATTTGATTTAAGTAAATGGTGACCATTTCTTCAAACAGAAAAAAACATACGGCTCCTTTGGTGTCATGGATGGAACCTGTCATAATTTTGGGGTGGCAATAAAATCACTATTACATGAATTTGAGTAGAATACAGGTTTTATAAAGGCAAAGCTTACACTATACAAATGTAGTGCAATATACAGACTATTTTCCAATTGACAGATTATTTATTATTCTATTTTTTATATTCATACTTGTTGTTAAACTTTGCCTGCCAATCAGGAGTTGTACTAAATTTCAGCTGTGTGATGATAATAAAGGTATTTTATTCTATTCTATAATACGTGTATAATAAGGGTCCCAAACTACTACTGACTAAACATGTGATATGTGATAACATCATTTAATATTGCAATGAAGATATGACTTGCGATAAATAAATATAAACAGCCTTCTGACCCAGAGACCACGGAAAGCTCCACAGCAGGGAGAAGGCGCACAGCCCGGCCACAGCGCCACCAAGTCCTTTGCAGACACCAGGGAGCCATGCACAGCTCCACTATGTCCACGGGACTAGACTTAGAGTTCAAGGTGACTGCGCATCCTGGAAGAAAAACTCTTCAGCCTCATCCTCCCCTAGGGTAGAGACGGAGGACCTAAGACCTGATACTGGACTGACTCACCATGCGATACAAAGAACACAAAAAGGTGAGAATCTGAAAATGTATCATTACATTTGTAAAAGATTATATTTTAGGGAATCCATTTAAGGTAAGGGAAGGGAGTTTTTGTCTAATGATAAAATCAGGTTAGACCTAATTGTTTGGATGGTAACCCTAACAGTTTTTTTTAACCAAGGTTTAGTAGAATCTTGGCAGTGAACTGATGAATTCATCTGAAGAGTTTACCACAGTAATATAATATGGAAAAAATTATTTCAGGGTGATAATTATATTGTGTGAAGTAAAGCTCAAAAACACGTGTGGAAGTGGACAATTTCTTAAATCCTACCCTTCAAATAATTAAATTCCATTCAAGTGGAAAAAACAACATTTGGGAATTCAAAGATTATACAACAAACACAACAGAAAACTACTATATTTATACAATTAACTATTATAAGGTGTTCTGTGGAGAACCACGTAACTGACTGTACAAGACACATGTACCCCCAGACTTGACTGACAACCCATTGCAAAATGTTGACTCTGAGTTATTTGTTGATGGTTCAGCTGCTCAAGATCCAAAGACTGTTAAAAACGAAGTTGGCAGTCCAAGCAGTGGACAGACCCGTCCTAAGTGCTACTGACTACACAGACAGCAGCGAAGGTTGCTGAGACAGTCACTTGGATCCACATCAGCCACTGCAGTTCCAGAACCATCTGAAACACCGGCACGAGAGACAGCTTAACAGTAAGCTAGTAAATAGCACAAAGATACCTACAAGACATTGAGGAAGACAACAAGGGTGCACACCGAATGCTGCCCTCGACCCTACAGCTGCATTGGACTTAAGCAGGATCAAGGGGGAAAATGGCTCCCTCCTTCAACAGTGTATGCCAAGCTCTACGAAAGTGCCGTGCAGAGTGAATCTGTGTCACTATTAAAGGACAATGGAAACCAGACATAAACCATGGTATCAATACAAAAGCCCTGGATGGTGTGGCCTAAGGGGTTCAGTGTGTCTTATTATATTGTCACTAACATATATGAGATTTATGTATGTATATAAGTATGGTGGCATTATTGATGTGCACTCCCATTCCATTATCACTAGGGCTACTGATTTTGCATTCCTCCAGCAAGGATCAGGTTTGTCAGTGTCTCTACATTGGCAATGTGGTGGTAAGATTATTGCGACAAGACATGGCTACATTTACCACCCTGGAGTCTTTTCATTGGCATATAAATAAGTAAAAAAATGGGGCATAGGATTATTTCCTTGGTATGGAGTCACATTCTTAGCATATGATAATATTCAATTAAAGTCATAGCGCCGTGTTGCTGTAACAGGAAATGTCGTGTTTTACATTTCTTGTGGCTAGCTCATGTAACCACGTTTGACCATCGAAAAACAATTTTGACTAGTCGTACCTTTACTGTGACTGAAATTGGATATAAGAAATATATAACATCATTGTAACTTGTCAAAACAATTGTTGAGATTGAGATGTTGAGATTCAAACTACTTTTGTCATTCATGTCTGTGTGTTTTCTCATTATAGATATCTACAATTCAGTTGATCACTAGGCCTGGGACGATAAAAAATTTTGCGGGATGATATATTGTCATAAAAATTATTGCCGAATAAACAATATTGTTGTCAACATGATAATATATCACAATAATGCACACCATTTCAAAGACAATAAACTTTTATTTCTCAGTGTTTTTTACCTTTTGCGATGTAGCGAACTTCACTTTCAATGAGCACACACCATTTTGCGCTGTTCCGTTTATATTTACTTTGTCGACCGAACACCTCAGTGAGTGTTGACTGTCGGAACKAAGGCTCTGCATCTCGAGGTGCACTTTGTTTCCCCAGCTGWGAAACTGGGTCGGGTGGTTATGCTTTAGATGGGCATGCAAGTTTGTTGTGCTGCCTTTTTTTGTTGCCACCACTTTTGAACTGGCTCGTCCGTGTTGATGGGCTCACCTTGCTCATTTGGTTTGGAGCCGAAATATTCCCACACTGGGGCTGTAGGTGTACCATGTGTAGCTAATGCTAGTGGCCCCGCCTCCCCCCACAGAGACAAAGAGACTGGATGACTGACAAGAGGGTTCACTCCGTTCATTCCGCAACAAACGCCCCCAGGTGCTAAGACAGAGCACAGAGTGAACCCTCTTGTCATCCAGCCTGCTTGGAGGCGAGAGACGAGGAAAACAAACACGCATGCACATGGCGATATATCGAGGCCTGAAAAATTATCGAGTTAATTTTAATTTATCGTGCGATTAATTGATTTATTGATTATCGGCCCAGGCCTATTGCTCAAAAAATTAAGGGAACTCTTAATTGTCACAGTATAACTGCAAGTCAGTTCAATTTCAGGGACAACAATCTGTCCATTGAGGAAGCACAACTAAACTCTCTCATCCGTGTCTTTATGGTCCTTGCTTTGTGCACTGGTCATGTTGTCACAGGAAGGGGCCATCCTCAAACTGAACACTTGGATATTGATACTTTTGGCAATATAGTGCACTATATTTGGATGGGTGAGTGAATACTTTTGGCAACTTTGTGGGAACAGTTTGGGGATGGCCCCTTCCTGTTCCAAGGTCCATAAAGACATGGATAGGAGAGTTTGGTGTGGATGAACTTGACTGGCCTGCACAGAGTGCTGACCTCAACCCGATAGAACACCTTTGGGATTAATTAGAGCAGAGACTGAGAGCCAGGCTTTCTTGTCTAACATCAGTGTGTGACCTCACAAATACGCTTCTGGAAGAATGGTCAAAAATTCCCATAAACACACTTCTAAACCTTGTGGAAAAGCCTTCCGAGAAGAGTTGAAGCTGTTATAACTGCAAAGGGTGGACCGACGTCATATTAAACCCTATGGATTAAGAATGGGATGTCACTTTAATTCATTTGCGAGTCAAGGCAGGTGACCCAATACTTTTGGCAATATAGTGTGTGTTTTTGTATATATATAGTTTTTTGAATACATAATGTATAGTATAGTTGAAAAGGGTTGCTTTTTAGTTCTAAAAATTTGAAATAGTTGGGTATTTCGAGATTGAGACCTTTAAATTAGAATGAAAAATAGCCCATGGTGAGTAAAAACTAATGCACAGGAACTGCTTGGGGTTCAGTGGGTTTGAATTACAGAAAGACAGACAATGTACAGATTGAAATTTTTCCCTATTCTATCAGAAGCTACATAGCTGAGACCCTCACCCCCTCTTCTCACCAAGCTCAATTTCAGTCTAAAAACTGTGTCCCAAGCTGTGTTAAAAAATGTTAACACAAGATTGTGACTTGCATTTAATTGATATTTACTGCAGTAAGCTAAACATAGTTTTGCTAAATATTGTAAGCAAGGGATATGGCGGGAGTTGTGCAATATTTGGCTCCCAAGGGATGTTTCACCAATATCGCAACATGTAACCTGTGATCATTTTGACACATTTTCCCAACTGGAACAGTCTTTCACCTATTTTATGTACATCAGGTTTTTGTTTGAACAGTGAGTGTGCTGTTTGTGTGGGTACCTTCACATCTGTGGTCTGTTGGAAATGTTGGATCAGCTTCATGACATTGCCAAGGTTGCTTTTGATGGAGTCCATGGATTCTTTCTGTGCAACTGTGATCTCCTTCACCTGAAAGCACAACGCTGTGTGTTTGGCCTTAAGGGCCCTCAGGTTCTCCAGCATCAATGCCGGGTTCTCCTGCAGGAACAGGATCAAACAACAGACTGATTGTATAGAATCCAGCCTCAGCTGATTTTATTTAACAGCGCTGTGGTGAAAAAAAAGTCTGTGTGATCTGAAATTTAGAGATGGTGGAAAATACAGCAAAACCAAAATTGATAGTGATGGCAGTGAAGACAATCAGAATATAAATATACACCCGAAAAATGATAAAAGGTTATTTAATATGTAAAAAGGAATTAGCATGATTCATTTTGCATGGTTATGCACTTTTAGTTCTCCTTTTATGATACTAACAAGTCAGTTTCTATGACTATATCAATGAAAGTCAAAATACTGGTCAATAAATATTGTCCATGAATAATCAATATATTGCTTCCAAACTAAATTGCTATTTAATTTCCTTCAGACTGTTAGTATCAGTGGTGGCCATTTAATTGTTACCTCAGCCGAACATCCATTCTCTGCAGTTCTGTTGATAAAGTCCAGCTTCAGCCGTTTCTCAATGTATTCCAGGTCAGCCTCTGATTTCAGGAACTGCAAAGACATTCAGCATTACATGCTTCAATATGCTCAAAAGGTAGTGTTGGACTTTTTACTAGTAAAGTGGAAATCGGATATAGTGATCAAGTATTCATATGGATAAAAAAGCTTGGGACAGAAATGTTACTTTACAAATTCTGTTTGGTCTGCACACTGCCAACTGAATCGAGCAAAACTGAGCGCGCCCCATCATCTTCTCTGGCTCTCCATACATTGCCTAGGTTTACAAATTGAGTTGTTTTTACCCAGTGCAAGTTTACAGATGTGTCCGCTGACAATGACTGTTTGAGCGCGTGTGGTGGAGTGTGTTTGTCAGCGCCACAAAGAGAGCAAGCGGAGTCAGGAAGTGCACACCCTGTCAGATCATACCATGGAGTTGGTGCAGCTGGTCACTGCTGTTTTCAGATGCTTTGACAATACTATTGCACTGCTAGCTGTCTGATACAGTAGTGCAACAAAGTCAGAGCACCTGCCAAAAGCTGGAAACTTTTCCTGTGCTTTTAACCACTGACCATTTCAATGGTTCTCTGGCAGGGTCACGAGTGGTACAATGTAGTGGGGCATTGGACAGACAGTGGACCTTGTCTAGCTTTAGGTTCATTCTACAGTGCTGTGCAAGATTTAAGTGAACATTTTGCTGACGCAAACATAATTACATCCAACCCCTTCAGCAAACAGACATGCAATTTACTTCTTATTCTATGCACATCTTGTATTGTTTGGAGCCGTTTTACCACTACCCATATTATATTTTAAATTGTCCAGCTGTGAGTTACTCTTCCATTTTCTTTGTGCATTACATGTAAAAGAACAGTGCATCAAAAGAACTCTAAAATAAAAAAATACATCTGCTTAAAGTGTACTTTACATTTTCTAGTTTACATACTAAAACTCTACTTAGAATCACTCGTATAAATCTCAGATACAGCCAGTGAAATACTGTTGCATAATCTGGAGTGAACCTGAGGTTTAGAATGTTTGTACCTGCTCCTCTCTTCACAAACCAGCACATACACTACGCAATTAGGGACTATCTAAAGCAGCTCGCTTCTGGTTCCAACGAGGAGTACAGGTGATTAAGATATTCGAGGTTTCTGTCAATGGCAACTAATCTCTGACCTCATACAGAGTCATCGATCCACATGCAGAACTACTGTTGTTGTTATGACGCTACATTAGTAGGTTGGAACAACTGGTGTGTTGTCTTTAAGCAACATGGGCCTGCTGAATGGCTCTGTGGTGTTTGAGGTGTGTATTGATACCAGAGAAGAGCATATGACTGCCATGACATGTCCTGTAAAAGTAACTCTACGCTGAAGAGCAGCTGCTTTTCTCTTTCATCATCAATTAACAAGGATCCAATCAAGTTCAGCTATAACATGGCCGAATAAGAGAGTTATTTTTACTTAGCTCACCATCGCCTCGAGCTTATCAACTGTTGTCTCCATGATGACTAGTTTTCAGCCTGGTGCGGGCTCTGTGATTGGACCAGCTGTGAGGATTAGAGACAGTTCAGTGTGAGCGCCGTTTCTGCCGTAGGTAAACTGAAGGAACCGGAAACCGGATTTTAGGATGTTAGCATAGATGAAGGCGCACAGACAGTAGCTACTTCCACTGAATTTAGCTCCAAGAGAGTCTGCCTGCAAACCTGTGGAGGTCTTCTTCTTCTTGTAGTGTTTATTGGCGGTTGGCAAACCAGCTTGTAGGCATTGCATTACCGCCACCTTCTGGACTGGAGTGTGGATCAGTAGAGTGGCAGTAAACAAACTAATAAAAAAACGAATAAAAACAAAAAGTCCCTAAAATTGAATTATTTCCTTAAATCCTGTTTCTCTTAAATAGTTGTTTTGAAGATTTTGTATGTTTTTCATGTCTATCACTACAAATTCTTTCATGTGATATTTTGCTTTTCATCTTTTGATCCTAACATTAATTCCCTTCTTTGTTCATTATATTATCATTATATTTGCTACATTCTATCAATACATGAGTGAAAGTTTCTGGTTGTTTGCATTGTTCACAGAGTCCAGTTTGGTGCTTTCCTATTTTATGAAGTGTATCATTTAATCCTGTATGACCAATTCTTAGAAGGGTAATGATTTTCTCTCCTCTGCTCCTCTCACCAGTGCCTACGAGTTCTGTACAAATCCCAGTATTTTTGCCATTGTCTGTGACTGTATTCATTCATGATTCTTTTTTCATTTCTGCTTCACTTAATGGTACCTGTATATCGATTGTTGTTCATTTACAGACATATTGACTGTTATGCCAATATGTCTGCCTTGTCATTAACTTCCACTCCCACGTGAGCTGGAACCCATAAAAGGTAGGTATTGCATTTTATCTGATATCATTTGAGGATCATGTGAAACATTTCATTGGTAATATCCTGTCTGGATGATGATTTCAGTGAACTTATTCTGGCAATTGCTGACAAGCTGTCAGATGCAATGATATCTCACGGCCTGGCTTCCTTCCTTTGCCCAGTGCAATGCAAAAAGAATCCCCAGTAGTTTTGCTGTATAAACTGACTTTAATGGCTATGTCTAACTGTGGAATGAAAAAAGCAGAACCTGTACGCCCTTTTTCTGGCTACTTTGAAGCATCTGTGAAAATGAATAGCTTATTCCGATATTGCTCTATATAGTTTTGTACTATTTCGCACCTAAGTACCTTTGTCTTTGTCTTTCAACTTTTGCTGCAGACTGGTGTCTATGGATGGTAACACAAATTCCATGGTGGTATCTCTGATATTGAAACAGTAAAACTGATGTTAATTTTGTTTAATCCTACATCTTGTGCTTTGGTGTTTCCTTTCCACCCAAAACTAAAAAATCTTTTGCTCCCAACATTCCTGTAAAAGGAGGTTGCTGCCGGTGCAGACTACTCTCCTAAGATAAATAACCACTGGTTCCAAATAAATGCTGGGTCTAATTAATTTTTTTAAAAATCAAAGAAGACGTGAACACTGACACTGCACGTTTTTCTTCTTCGCCTTTTTCACGTATTGTGCTTGCTTTCTGATGATCGCCATGGCTCCGGTGCAGCAAAAAAAAAAAAGTACAACTTGAAATTCAAACTTTCTGTGGTAAAATATGGAAAGGAAAACTCGACCCCAAAAGAGTGAGAGATTGGCGAAAAAATAAAACTGAGCCTCAGCGTCTGTCCGAGGAGGACAGCAAAAGGGTCATGCTGCCTGGTGGAGGTAGGAAGAAGGCTAGCGAGGAGCTTGAGATAAGCATGCAGGAATGGGTTATCAGCAAGTGTGTCCCGCAAAATGATCAGGGCGATGGCAAAACAAATGTATGCCACCATGAGTGACAGCAGAGATGGGGAGTTTGCCGCAAGTGCTGGTTGGCTAAATCGTTTCCTCTGCCACAACATGTGCAGAAGACGTACAACTATTGCCCAGATAGATTTTGTGAGAAAGAAATTAAACTGTCCCAAACTGCCGCCTGGTCCCAAATAAACACCTGGTCTGTTAATTGATTGAAACAAATAAACGCCCCGGCTATTATTTGGTAATTTATGGTACTTCACCCACCCCTCCATTGGCATAGTGGTGAGTAAATAATGAGTGAATTTTCATTTTGGGGTGAACAAGCCCTTTAAGTTTACATGTGTTTCTCAAAATAAGAATCAAAAAGCTAATGTGGCAACTTGTACAGGTAACCTGAGGATAACCAGCAGGAAAGGTTAATTAAAACCATATTATTTTTTTGTCATGATTCTTATCATATTACATATAGGCCTATTTATCATGATATATACAGTAGGCTATTCTGTTGTGCCAGTAGAGTTCCACCTAAAGGATCCACTGTACTCTGCTGCAGCTGTCATTTTACTTTTATACTGTATTTACACACTCCCACCTTCCCGTTCCTCCCTTTACTCTGCTCTCCTCCAAGAGCTTTCCCCCCTTTACATGTGTTGTGGATCTGATGGTTGTAGCCCTGCCCTGTATTTAAAGGAGGGTGCAGGGAAGGCTCACTCACTCCCAGCAGCAGCCTATTCGATAAATAAGTTTCTGTTTCATGTGTTTTTTTCTACTTGAGGCTGGAGGTCTGGCAGTCTAGTTTTCGGGCTTTATTTCTAGTTTAGTTTTACTTTCATGTCTGTAGGTTTAGGGGCGTAAGCCCTGGGTCCTTTGGTCTGTGGGCTGGCCCAGACTTCCTCATCCTTTTATTTTTGCCAGACCTCCAGACTCTCATATGTTTGGTTATTCTCAGTGAGTTTATTTTCCAATTGTAAATAAACTATATCTTGTGTTTCAAATCAGTACCCGGTTGGTGTCCTCATTTTATGTTGTGGCTACAAGGTTGAGCCAGATTTCACATTTTCTGTATGTGGCTGAACACTGTACATTAATAGTTTATGTATATTGCTCAACTTGTGATTGTTTTTCATGTGACTTCCCTTGTGTAATTTTTATTTGTAAATGTATTCTTTCCCATCATTGATTTCATATTTGGTTCTGTCTTTATTATTTCTTACCTTGTGCTGCTGGACACCAATAAAAGGCTTATCTTAAAATGGAGCAATAACTTAGCTCTGTGTTCTTCATGCTTTAATAAAAAATAATTATTAAAGGCCCCATAAACCTTTCTGGGATTTGATTTGAGGTCTTGATACCCCCTGGTTTAATGTGGAAAAAACTGTTGCATTCCCTAATGATGGCAGTGATGTTGGCTTCAGACCACCACTGAAACTCCTGACGTAGCCAGCGATGACCTCTTCTTGTACTGAGAGGACAGCAGCTTGGGGACATAGATCTTCTGTACCTCCTCGAGGTATGGTGCAGGGTTTGTACATTTGTACAGTGACGTTTGTAAAATATTTAATTCATGTAAATTGTATTTACTTTGAAATAAAAAACATTTTTTGTAACCAAAACATTTTGTGTATCTTACTGTATGTTGGCCCTGTTTTCACTAGCTTTGCTGTGCAGTGCCCCTTCTTAGCCTACAGATATTTTCAATTTTATAGATCGGCTTCCCTCAGGAGCGGGTTTCTTGAGGGTGATCAGCAATTTCATTGAAGTGCATTACAGAAATCCAAATCAACTCATGACAAACAGAAAAGGAGGGTTCTGAACTTTCACTGCTGAAAGCCACCCCTCAACCCCTTTTTTGAATGCATTTCAGAATATGTGAATAGCTGTGTTAGGTTACTATCCATTTCAATTAATTCATTTATTATCAGATGAAATTCTTTATAAATGTGTTCACACGTAAAATATAGATATATAAACATTTCTCATACAAATTACATTAACTATCCATACCTTATACATTTCTTACCTGCAAAACATTTCAATGAAATGGAAGATGACATTCTTTGAGGCAAGATAACACTGTGGAATGCTTTCAAAGAAGAAGTCTGGTGGTGCGGGCTCAACTTCTCCACATCCTTCAGGACCCACTACTTTGTAGTAATTTTGACCCTGATATTTCAAACAAAAAAAAGAAGAGAAAATGATTTCCTTGATATTTATTTTGGGGATTACCTCGGAAAATCGGTATAATACTTGCACTTATATAACAAACATGATTAACCAAGAAGGGAATTTATATCAGGAAGGACGAAAAGCTAAATATTACATATATACATTTGTTAGAAAAGAGATCATCTTCTGAACTACTGAAACAGGACGTAAGAAAATAATTTCATTTTAGTTTAATTTCGTTTTGTTTGCTGCTAATCTACTGCTCCACACTCCAGTCCAGAAGGTGGCGGTAATGCACCTATAAATTGGTTTGCCAATCGCCAACAAACTCCAAAAGAAGAAGACGCACGCACCGGAAATGATTCTTCAGTCATTGCTTGCGGTCAACCCGTCTAACGAGACTTAATAGCTGAATGAGATCGCAGTGTTTTGTTAGATACAATGGCTCCCTCCCTGTATGCTGGTTAAGATGTTAATAACCCTGTGCTACGTCTACATGTGGGTGCGGTTTCACAAGTGCTACTCGGTCCTGATCCGCAACAGTCTTTCCAGACTAAAGGGCAGCAGTTTCAGCTTCAGCGTGTGCTCCAGCTCGGCCTCAGCTGAAACCACAGCAACGCCAACTGGATGCCAAACAGATGCACGGCAGTACCTCGGCTCACTTCCACCCGAGGACATCGTCTTCCTTCAGCTGGGAGACAAGGCTGTCTATCTCACGGATCCTCAGGTTGGATGCCTTAGTTAACGTTGAGTTAAATTACATGATATAACATGGATAGAATCAATGGTAACTGGATAATTGGGTGCGTTCATAATGTCCAAATTATCCCCTTTGCTAACCACTATTCTTTGACCCCGATGGAATATGTCACAGGGTCAGGGAAAGATGTGAAGGAGATGTTGTAAGGAGTTAGGAAAGGAGAACCATGGTGCAGGAAAATCCTCCTCCACTTATACATTAAGAAAGCATTTACAGAAGATGCGCACAAAATGTACGGCAACCTGCTGTAGGCCGTGCGCTGACAGTTCTAAAGTTTCCTGTCCAAAGTACAATGAGACATCCTGAGAAACAATGTTTTCAGGTCATGCAGAGGGAATATTTAATCTTTGACTACTCAAAGGAAATAACTGATTCAATTGAAAGCAAAAGTAGAACAAGCAGGACTGAAATTTTGAAGTAATATAATAATGTCAGGAATATAAGCGGGAAGGCTGATGAATGTGCTGCTCTGAAGAAAGATTAGAGAGATATCAGAGACTCAGAAACTGAGACACACACAAACAGAGGATATGTTAGAATATAGTCTGGAGAAGGCGCCTAAATTTGGGAGGAAGCGGCTCCGTCAAATCTCTATTTTCAAATTCTCTGTTTCCTCTCTGTTCTTTTCTTATCTCTTCTTCCGATAATGATTTTTTGACAAATAACCCGTCTTTTGCAACAGGTATTTCGTGATGATGATAGATTTTTGATATATTGTGCAGCCCTAATTTATATTTTCATATGCCCATTGCGATGAGAATCTTAATTGTATGCTAAGCAGAAGTGGGAAGAAACTCGATTTTTCAGGTATCTGTACTTTACTTGAGTATTTATTAAGGCTTTTTACTTTTACTCCCTATTTTTGAACACAAATATCTGAACTTTCTTCTCCTTACATTCTCAAAACTGTCTCGTTTAAACCTCCACGGATGATGACACAACGTAAAAGACGTAACAACACAGAGAGGAAAAGTCAACCGCAGAGAGAAGGTATCGAGGGGCGTACAGTTTGTGATACAGAGAAAAATACCAGCAGCGACATGGATGAAGAAGGTGAACCAGGAAACACTGCCAATGACGATGGCAAACAGATTCGGAGAAGCAGGACATTCCCCATCCATTGCATGAGCAGTGGAGGTTGGTGCATTGCACGCCTTTATGCATTGCGCACCTCTCGCTTGCCCCTGCCTCGGTAGACACGCAGGCCCGGCGGCTTGTGTGCCGTCAGGGGGCAGCGGAAGACCCTTAGTGCCCAGAGGTTGGTCGGGCTGCCATGGTCGACGGAGGTCGAGCGGCTGTACTGGTAATGATCCTTCAACAGGTTCACCTACGGAAACCTTATTACAACTTTTACTTCCTCTATATCAGTGGCCCTGAGTTTGACATGTCTGCTTTAGACAGTCAAATTTTATCGTCTTCTCGGTGCTCTGCCAGGGCCCTGACCGACTCTGGTGGGGCCGATCTGAGGACCTCAATAAACCATCCAAGCAGTAGTAGCGACGTGTGGTGTGTACAGAGGGCTGGGAATTAATCAACACGAGCACATTCCCCATCCATTTATTCCCTGTAAAAAAGGTGCTCATGTAGGACCTCGGTTCAGTTAAGTCTTTATTATTCTGTGTGACATTTGGCAGCAAAACTAAACTTCGTTCTAGGCATGGCCATTTTTCTATGATTCATTCTAGGCTTCTTATCCTGCAATAGAAAGCGCTCTCTCTCTCTCTCTTACCTCCACTCACCCACCTCTCCTCTCTTCCCCATTTTTCTCTACTCACTCCAAACAGTCGAGGCAAGTGGCTGCCCACATTGGGTCTGTTTCTGCTGGATTTTTCTTCGGGTTAATGAGGGAGATTGTTATTTTACAAGCTGTTAAAGTGCTTGCTCATTGTGGGGACTGTAGGGTTTCTGTATAATTCTAAGATCTTGACTATTATATATAGAGTGCCTTGAGATAGTGTATATTACGATATGGTGCTATACAGGGACGTCAGCAGCACAGTAAAACATCCAGGGGCTAAGGCTGAGCCCAGAGCACGGGGGGGTTGGTAGATTTCAATATAATTTGGCTCTAGTTGCTTGTTATTGTATTAATAAACTTTTTTATACACTAAACAAGCCTATTTTGTTTCCTAGTTAAGAGAAGAACATGCACCCCAAGATGTACATTATTTCTCCTCTTCTGCAGGCTTGAAAGACAACAAAACACAATGTCACAAATGTGCCCCTGAAAACATTTATCATGTGACCAGTTACACACACTGGGTCAGTGTAAACATAAAAGCACATTGTCTACTCAGCAGTTGGATGCTTATTAACACAAAATACTCCGAATTAGCAAATGGTATTTTCACATTTTGCTGTCAGCGAATGTACACGCAATTGGGTCCAGATTGTTTTTCACAAGTTTCAAAGTGATTTACTGATAAAAGTGGTGAGTGGCAAATTAATCGGGGCTGTAGCCCCGGAAGCCAAAGTCATACAACACCTATGGCGCAAATTGAATTGAAGAACTTCCTCTGAAAGGGCAAAATGTCAAACTTAGGCAATAAAACATTATATCACTATTAAATCAAAATTTACCAAAACAATTATGAATATGCATGTTGTTGCAGTAATTCAAAGATCAGGATTACATTTTCTTTATACAAAGTGCTATTACTATATTGCTTGTTGTCTAATTACCGCCTAATTACCTTTTCTGTTTTTTTTTTCTTGTACAGTTAGAGAAATCTAGTTTCTGTTAGGCTTGAACAAGTTCACTGAAGTCAGGTTGGATAAGTGAAGAGAGGATCTGGATTTGTTAAACTTCATCACAGAGAATACTTGTTCACATATGTAGGTAGATCCAAAGAGAACCAACATTTTCTGAACATGCCTCCTCATGTGTGGAAAGTTGTCCTTTTTGAGAGAAGAATAAAACTCCAGCAGTCTGACATAAAGTGCTCTGCCAGTAGAGTATCAGATTGCAGGTCTTGAAATCGCCCTGAAAACTCACCATGCAGTCCCCCTAACATGGATGAGTATATGTGGAGGGGATCAGCTGATGGTGTGGCTACTCTCAGTTTTTGGCATGTGACTTAGAATGTTACCCTCCAACTGGCTTGAAAGAAACCAAAACCTTCTCATGAAAGGCTATGATGGCAAAAAGTCTATTTTGCATTACTCGATTAATATAATAATTCATCAAAAATTAAAATTAAAAAACTTGTCTTATTTATATTCATTTAATCATCTTGTCTTAAATACAAACAAATCTGACCAAAAACAAAAATGCACTGCAAAGCATTATTCCACTTATTATATCTAATAAAAATAAAGTAAATGATCTTTTCTCGTTTCAAGTAAAATAAGGTTTGCATTTAAAAACTAAAAGCTTTTGAAAAAACTATAAATAAAGTGCTTAATTTTAGAAAAAATAAATAAAAAGATGTAGTTTGAGTTTCCCCTTTTCTTACTGCACATATAAACAATCTCAACAAAAATTAGATTTCATTTCATTTCAATTCAATTTTATTTGTATAGCGCCAAATCATAATATACATTATCTCAAGGCACTTTACATAGAAGGGTAAGACCTTTAAATCAAAATATAGAGGAACCCAACAGTTCCCACAATGAGCAAGCACTTTGGTGACTGTGGAGAGGAAAAAAACCCCTCATTAACAGGGAGAATCCTCTAGCAAAACCAGTCAATGTGGGCGGTCATCTGCCTCGACCAGTTGGGGTGAGAAAAGAAAACGGGGAAAGGAGATGAGAGATGGGTGGAAAAGAGGGGAGAGAGGGATAGTGGGGAGGGGGAAGTAGGGGAGAGGGGGGGCAAGAAAGACCGGGGACACTTGAGCGCCATCAGATATCAGATCTGACTAGTTAAAAAGTGAACAACAGTGTAAAGGCTATTAATTATTATTGATAACAGACACATTTGATATCATAATGAATTACTGCGATATTGTAATTAGTAATAGTAAAAGTTGTTGTCCTGAGGTTCCGGGCTCAGAGATATCTGAAATGAGAGAGAAAAAGAGAGTGAGAGACTATGGGAGTACAAAGTGAAATAGTCATTGACATAAATAAATGAATGAATGTGGAGGGACAGAGAGAAGTGAAGAAGTGCTCAGTGGATGATGGGAGTTGCCCCAGCAGTCTAGACCTATAGCAGCATAACTAAGTGATGGTTCAGGACTCATCTGATCCAGAACTAACTATAGGCTTTATCGAAAAGGAACATTTTAAGTTTAACTTTAGTTAGTTGGTTCCACAGGAGAGGAGCCTGGTAGCTGAATGCTCTACCTCCTGTTCTAATCTTACAGACTCTTGGAACCACAAGAGATCCTGTGTTTTGTGAACGAAGTGATCTATTTGGATAATATGGTGTTATTAGGTCTTTGATATATGAAGGGGCTTGATTGTTAATAGCTTTAAATGTGAGGAGCAGGATTTTGAAATCTATTCTGAATTTTACAGGGAGCCATCGAGAGAAGCTAAAAAAAATCAACAACTAAACGGCTTAAACTTAACTCTTTGTATCCATTTTCTCTTGTTCAGTGGCGTAAACTCTACCGTGTGCTGCCAGGATTTACTACCGTAAAGACGGAAAAGGCTGTGCAGGGTAATATAAGACTATTGTAAAGATGCAAAAAGTGCAGGTTAAAAATAGAAACACTCCATCTCAATCTAATCCCAGGTCTGTATAGAACGGCTTTTGGATCCGGTCTGGACCGCGATCCCTCTATTGGTGACATATGCTCAATGGTCATGGGCTTTTTTTGTTTCAGCTTGCACTTCACGTGAGTCCATGCTTTGACTGTGCACAGCCACCTTCCTTACGACACACATTGCAAAATTCGATGTATTTTTGTTAGCGATGACGTTTATTATGTCTACGCATCGCCCGAGCCCTACACGTCAGTTCCCTTTTCTTTACTAACGTTTCAGGGGCTCGCACACACAAGCGCACTGCACGCACACAAAACGATGTGCTACCACCTACATATCAGATAGCAGTTGCACATGTCAGCTGCCACCAAAGAAAAAACTATAAAAAACTAATTATCCACTGCCGCTATCAGGATCCACCATCATGATCCAACATCAGCTGCCAACACGAGCATGACATACTGACACTACTTTTGTCTCTTGTGATTTGCCTATTTGCACAGTTGGCATTCCCTGTTCGAACATTAGATTTTTCTTGCTTTTGAAAAAGAAACTTTTCTTATGTCTGTCTTTAAGGGAGTGTCTCAGGGACAGGTAATTTTTTTTTAAACCCTGAGGCATGCAGCTAGGTGCTCTCCTTCAAGCTTGTTCCCAAGGTCAGGTCAAAATTTTATAGGACATGGAGTAATTTTATCATTCCAGATCCCTGTTTTAGCAGTGGTGCACCAGGGCTCCATTTTTTACACAAGGGATGAGCCTCTGACAAAGTGGCATGGCTGGAGAGAGACATCAGGAGCTTAGGAGGAAATATTGGGACTGCTGAGCCTTGAGGAGACAATGGCAAAGGAAGAGTACTTATTACTTGTCCAGAGAGTTTGTATATATGTAGTAGATATACTGTATGTACCATGTCCATCTTGAACCCATACCCTAAACCCAACAGGTAGTGATGTTTTGCTTGGTTTTTGCCATTTCCATGCATTGTACTTCAACAAACTCTTCCTAATAATAATAATACATTTTATTTCGAGGTGCCTTTCAAGTCACCCAAGGTCACCTTACAAAGAAAATAAAAGATTAAATGATCAGAAACAAACTCTTCCTAGAGGATTGATAGCATATCCTTCATATTGGGTAATTTAACCTAAAAACCTCCAAGATGAAAAGTTGCACTCTCATTTCGTTTTGAAACAGGAAGTTCTTCCAACTTGACTATATATCGTTCAATCTGCACTAGTGTCATGATACCCAGATGCTTGATTTGCTACTGATAGCAAGTCATACATTTTGATACCGATCATTTTTTGAGTCGTTCAATCTGAGCCAGTGGCACCAGACTTCTGTAGTAGAAAAAAAAATAAAAAATTGACAAAATTGTCATAGCAGAGGGCCTAATTATTTTGTGAGGTTACCAGAAGTGTAAGACTTCTCCTGTGTTTGAGCTTCAGCACCATGAAATGCCAGACTTACAATGTAATTTATGTTCATTATTTCCGTGCTCAATAAAATTATAGTTTATCTGTGTTCACGCATGTAGATGGGTTTTTGACAATGGATAAGTAGCCTTCATTTTATAGCATATATAATTTGGATTATTGTAAAGATCAAGATCATAACTTGTTAACTTTAATAACGTTAAACAATGTTATTATAGGTACATGTGATAGCTGCTGCAGTGAGGCACTGCAGACATGCCTGCATAGATTGAAAGCAAAGCACTTTTGCCCAGGGCACGCCAGCTGTTGAACAGCAGCAGAACAGCCTTTGTTCGGTGGTGCTCTTCTCCATAAAATTCTCCGCATTCCTTACACAGTTCATAGCAGAGTATGAAAATAAAGTCATCTTTCACCACAGTTTCAATATACGAACTATTGACAACCACGTCACGCAGCCGTTCCATGGCCGTTCACAGCCAGTGCGCCCCGGGCACCATTCATAAAGTACTGATACTAATAAAATTAGTTATCGTAATGTTTTTAATGGCTGGGTAGCGCAATACCTTTCTAGTATTGGCATATCGTACAATACTAATCTGCACTAAATTTCTCACGACCAGATCCAACTGAAATTTGGTTCAAAGACCCTTAAGAGTGTGATGAAAACCTCTTGTGAATGTTGTCCCCGGTTGGTTAAAAATCTTCAGTCTTCAGCTAAAGTAAGTTAAACTAAAATTAACAGCCAATCAGCAATAAACTCAGCCCAAGTATGGCTTCTCTTGCATTTCGTGTACAAGTACACGGCAGCAGTTGTAGTTAATTCAGCCAGTACCCTCCTCTCCGATCTGATCACCAGATGCATGTGGTGTGGTGTGAACACGCACTCAGAGATATCCACTAGTGATCGAATCACAAAACCAAATGTTAATGCCAGTTGTGTACAGGGCTTTAGATTCACAGCAAATACTGAATGCTGAATAAGGTTTTGTAGTGTTTAGTTGAGTAGTATAACTAGCTGATGTAATAGTGGGGATGTTGATGCCTGTGTTTTCTGAAGTTAAAAGTGAACATGATTGTGTACAATTAGATTTTTCAATCATTTGTTTAGTAAAGTGGCTGCAGCCTGAATATTACCATGTTGCTGTAAAGTATAATCATACTACACAGGTTCTACAGAACAGTGCCTTTCTGTGCCTCTGAACATTTCCTGACTTCTGTCAGTAACTATTAATTAATGATCAACAGCCTTGTAATGTTTTGAGGTTGTCTTTTTTTGTTGTTTGTGTCTGTCCTGTCCCCAGGCATGTGATGACCTCAGCAAATGGACTGTGCTGTTGGGGTCCTCTCTGGTTCGTGGTCCACAAATAGAGAATATTTCATTCATCATAGAAGCTACAGGATACAAAGTGGGCTGCCATTCTCGCCACACATCGAATAAGAAAGTAGGCACCACACAAGTTAACGAGTAAACTTGTCAGAGATATTATTATTATTACAGTCTGACCTCAATTCCATTATTCAGTAAAATATATAGCTGAGTGTATGTATTCACATTTATGTATTTATTTCCCCCATTTTAATCACCTATTATGTTTATTTTAAATAGTTTATAATGTCTACTTTCACCAGTCAGAATTAAATATTCTGTTCCCTCCTTACAGCTAATTTATGGAGAAATTATTTTTGAATGCTGAAGCAGCTACCACAAAATTGATGGCTTACTTTTTACAAATCACTTCTGTGATCCAGTACAGTAAATAGGACATAATAAACCTAGCTTTTCCTGTTCTATGGAGCAGTGCAGAGTAATAGCTACCTTGTGGTATGTGTTCTGTACAGGTGCTGAAGTGGTCCGATTATTGTCTTCCTTTGGCCTGCAGCCCTTGCCAGCCCTTCAGGGTGGTGGCTCAGACCACTGTCGATAACTTCAGTCAGCTGGGAGTTGCTTTTCTAGAAGATTGCCTTCAGCTAGAAGATGGACTTATGCCTTCGAAGATAGTCCGTATGTTGCCTTTAATTATATTACAAATTTGCGCTTTTTATAATTTGTTGAAGTTTCATAATGCCTCAGAACACCTCAGCAAGAATAATTTGTAACAAACTTAAATTATTATTCAATTTTTTTTTAAATATATATTTTAAATGGGTCACTTGTAAGAACAAACACAGCGTATTCTCTCCAACTCTGCACCCTGCAAACAAACTAATTGAAAAGGAGACTCAATATTGAGCTTAACTTCATCATTAGTACAGTTGAGTGTTAATGCTTTGTATATGCAGGATGTGTAAAGAGGTAACTGTTTGCTAAAATGTCCAAATATATTATTGATAGGGTTGGGTACTGTTCACATTTGAACTGGTACCGGTACCCAACGGTACTTTACTCTCTCTATTTAACAAATAAAATGCCAACCTTCACCAGGAGACATGATCATTCTAAAAGGTCTCCACTGTATTGGTTTCATATTAAACTTTCGGCCATAATGTTACTTAAAGGGATAATTCACAGAGAAATAACATTTCACTCATTATCTACTCAGCATTTTGCTGATGGAGGGCTGGGTGAATTGTTTGAGTCCACAAAACACTTTTTAGTGTCAGTGGCAAATAGTGTAACCTGGGGAACAATTCTTCAAACAAAAAATAATGCATCCATACAGCTCCTATGGTGTCATCCAAGTTCGTAAGCCCCAACATTCAAATTCAACCAAGAACACAGTTCACACCTGAGATCGCTTTTGACTAGCCATTGTTCTGACTGTGCACTGATCAGAAATTAGCTCTGCTTGATCACGTTCCAGGGTTGGGTCACATGCTCTCACTCTCTTTATTTAACGTATACTCTCTCTGTCACTCTCACTCACGTATACATACTCTCTCACCCAGACGCACTCACAGGTACTGTAATTTGGTACTGATAATTAAACATAAATTAGTTCCTGGTAGTATCGGCTTAATTTGGTTGGGACCCTTAAAAGTACAGTGCCCATCCCTAATCATTGAGCAATTTTTTGCTCTCCCCTGTTAGTTGAAAATATTGATGAAGCTAAGTTTAAGGTATTTTCATACCTGATTTACCAATATGTATAATCAATTGGTTACGGTTAAGCCTAACCCAAAGATCTGTCAAAAGAAATACTTGTAATATGTTCTCATGTGCAAAATATAAGTAACCACTGATAATGTTTTTTTTACATTTTTGTGACATTCCTTTAGCTGTTGTCCTCCAAGAATCTACTCTCAGTGAGCTGTTGGAGAAACAATATCCACAGAGCTCAAAGACTGTGACATCACAATGGCTCAAAGAGGGCGTTGTTGAACCTTTACCCTGTAACCTGTTAGCTGACCACCGGCACACACAGAGCCATAAAGGCAGCCTTCTCCTCACCCCACAGGCAAAGAGGAGGACTGAGGACCGAAGAGGATCAGAGCCCCTCCATGGTACCCAGGATAAAAGACTGATTGGTGACTGTGAGGATCATTCCTTGGGGAATCATCATCATATGGAGAGCCATGGACACCACCTCCACTTGTCCAGCTGCAATGAATGTTTGGAGATGGAAAACAGCACCATCCTCTCTGTTAAATATGCCTCAGCTGAAAACATTCCAGACCTTCCTGATGATAACTCAGTTGAGCTAGATAGTGAAGCTAAGACTTTGGATGAACATCAGCAAGACACCGGAGGCTTTTTTAGTCAAATTGGTGGTTTTGACTGTAATAACAAACCACCAAATGTTCTGGTGTACACGGATGGTTGCCAGGAGCGTTTTCAAACTGTTTGCCAAGTTTTATCAGAGTGTATCAACATGGAAAACCATGTAATATATCATCTCCAACCACAGCAGGCCCTGAGCCATCCATGGCTGGAAAACACCATGCTCCTGGTAGTGGCTGAAGAGGAAGCCCTGACCCCCCAACTTCAGACCTGCTTTCTCACCTACCTGAGCCAGGGTGGCAGGGTCTTGGGGCTTGCATCTACCCTGTGCCCTGCAGGCCTTTGTCTGGAAGTCAGGGAGAGGCAAAGAAAGGTCAGCAGGCTGAACTTCATAAAGGAAGACAGCACAGAGCAGGAACTGAGTGTGTTGGCGAGTGGAAAATTCTATGTCAGGGATACTCAGGGAGGAGGGGAAGTGGAGCTTTGGGGAGAGCTGAAAGGCGAGGTCCCTCATCAGAGGGATATGGTAATCGTCAGAATAACCCATGACCAAGATGGTGGGCAAGCTGTCCTTTGTCAGGTAAAAACATTTGACATTACTCTAAGTGATGATTGTAGCAGTTTACAAAGATAAACATGACTAAAATGTATTTTTCAAATTTTTTATTTGAATTATTTCATTACTGTTATGAGCTAAGACATGAGGCCCAGTCCACCACATACATTAATATGGCAGTTAATTTATTGATTTACTTGAAATTCTTACCTCTCTGGTTTGAGGTATGCAGTTTAGGTATTTGTGGTGCCACCTATGGGTGAGACTCAAGAGATGTGTATCTCATTCCTCCAAGAACGCATACCAAATTTGGTGTTTTACATCAATAATAATAAATAAATAATGTATAAAGCCTATTTTGCTGTGAAATAAGATGCCAGGTATTGATTAATAGGCCGTAACCATATTCAGCAATCAATATACTATTTCCAGTTATTATTTACGATCTCACCAGAACATATAGTACCAAATTTGGTGGGAGGGGGATGTGTTTGTGGCAGAATATGTCCATGATATAATATATAATTTCCAAAGCTGGCCTGTAGGAGTTTTATTGGGATTTGATTGGAAAAATGCTTAAAGGGGACCATTATTCCCCATATTTTGGTTTCTGATTTTAATTTGGGTCACTACTTGAAAAGGTTTACAGGCTCCAGTGTTCTGAAAACACATTAGTTTCTCCATTCTCTCCCTGTATAAGCTGGAGCAGATGCTCTCAGAGTCTGCCCCCTATCGCTAGAAAGCTGAGTCTGCTCTGATTTGCCATCAGGTCCAGTCTCTTGTGATTGGGCAACTGCTGATAGTGTATATCGGGTGCGGGCCGGTGCCAGCTGAGCTGCCGAGCCACTAAAGCTAAAAACACACTTTGATAATGGTGAATAGTGACAGAGAGGAGCCGGTTGTCCAGATAATTTACAACCAAGACTGGAGCAGGATGTATCAGAGTGGTAAGTAACATTGTTAATGTCTAATTTTTCTGCATTACATGTCCGCTGACCGACTGAATTACATATTACTGTGTTCAGGTGTACTTCTTGAAACAGCCAAAAAATGCACAGAGAGGTGAAAAATATCCTCTGCAAAGAAATACGAAGGGCAACGCTATCTAACAATTAGTACAAGCAGTTTCCCAATTATATTGATAACTTCCTGGTAACAACATTAACATGCAACTGATCTTGTGTGTAATGGATTAAAGCATATCAGTTTTATTTAATCACATTAAAATTGCTTGTGTTGGGAAAATACTACTTTTTTTAAATCTTGTTTTATGGTTTGCTGGTATCTGTGACTTGAGCAATTTGACTGATAGTAGAGCAGATTTGACAGATGTGTCAAATACAGCAAAGAAGTTGTATTACCAGTTTGACACTAAATATACTGTTTCTTCTTGGATGAATATTTGTCGAATGCAGTGATGTTGTCTTGACTGTGTTTTTTAAATGATATTTGCAGTGTAAACACAAGTGTCTGTAATTTTTCAAATTGGTGCACATTATCAGTATACTAATTATACACTGCTCCAAAAGATTAAAGGAACAGTTAAATCCCACATCATATCTTGATGAACAAGTGAAATATCTTTACTGATGAACATTGTATAATTTGTTGGGAACAGTGACTGAAAACCAAAATCATCAACCAATTGGGGGCTGGATTCAAAACCAAACCAAAAATTAAAGGAACATTTTTAAATCGCAGACTGATTCAACTTGCGTGAATTTAATCACAGCAACTTTTAGTGTCACTCAGTATTGTGTGTGGCCTCCACGTGCATGTATGTACTCCAGACAGTGTCTGGGCATGCTCCCTAAGAGTCAGTGGATGATGACCTTGGGGATCTCCTCCCAGTCCTGGATCAAGGCATCAGCGAGCTCCTAGACAGTCTGTGATGGTAGTTATATCCAATACATATGCAACGTTATGTATCAGATACACCAATACATATTGTCCCATAGGGAGGAGTTCGATTTTCATCTGGGGAACATGAGGGCCAGTCAATGGCATTAATGTCTTTGTCATTCAGGAACTGCCTACACAGACATCACTCACACCTCCCCAGAACATCACTGACCCACTGCCAAACATGTCATGCCGAATGATGTTACAGGCAGCATAACTTCAGACTCTGTCATGCCTGTCACATGTGCTCAGTGTGAACCTGCTTTCATCTGTGAAGAGAGCAGGGTGCCAATGACGAACCTGACAATTCTGGTGTTCGCTGGCAAATGCCAATTGAGTTGCACGGTGCTGGGCTGTGAGCACAGGTCACACTAGAGGACAGCAGGCCCTCACGCCACCCTCATGGAGTCTCATGGTCAGTGTCACAACCCGGCTCAACCTACGGCTCAGGGAAAAGAAGAACAGGGGCACCTACTGTCCAGGTGAGGGTCATTTTGTAGAGTTCTGGCAGTGCTCCTCCTGTTCCTCCTCACTCAAAGAAGCAGATACCAGTCCTACTGCTGGGTTGATCCCCTTCTACAGCCCTGTCCAGCTCTCCTTGTGTAACCGTCTCCTGGTATCTCCTCCATGCTCTTGAGATTGTGCTGGGAGATACAGCAAACCTTCTTGCGACCGCACGTTTGGATGTGCCTTCCTGGAAGAGCTGGACTACCTGTGCAACCTGATTGGGCTGCAGGTACAGCCTCATGCTACCAGTAGTGACAAGGACACTAGCAGAACTCAGAGCTAGAGAAGAATCAGTCAGGAAGGATAAAGAGAGAGCAGCTGTCAGTGTCCACCACATGTTAAACCATTCCCTTTTTGGAGGTTGACTTGATTTTGCTTCTTTATTGCAGCAGGTGAAACTGATTCATTATCACTTTTGCTTCATAAATGGACAGATTGATATCCCTGAAATATCCCTGAAATTTAACTGACTTGCTGTTATACTGTCCCTTAATTTTTTGGAGCAATGTATTAGCAGGCAAGATTTTATTTGGAACTCTAATGTCTTATTCTCTTCCCACAGACTTCTCTGACGCTTTGCCTACCGCAGCTTTGTCAGCAGGTCCTGGGGGTGTTTAGAACTCCACAAAAGGGTTGTCATCCCGTCATGTGTTGTCCTTAGGATCAGCCAGGAGTTTCTTGATCTGGCTGGCGAGTATGTTGTGTCTTGTGTTTTCCTGAATCCGCCTTTGTTGTTTAACTTCTGCTCAAAATTTTCATGTTGTATGTAATTGTAAAAGTAACAATAAAACAGTATTTACAACTTACTTTATATGAGGTCTGTTTTGTAACTTGTGAAACACAATTGTGTAGACTGGTTGTCTTGTGGATGTTGTAGCATGTAGTATTTTATTTCATTGGATTTTCATCTCAAATGGAGCCCATTACAATAGTTCGTACTGGCACTATAAAACAAATCTTTGATATCCTGGCAGAAAATATGTTGTTTTGAAGTTTGAAAAATACAGATGTTAATCTGCTCTAACTTTATATCACAAACAAACACTTTTCGTAGTGTGAGTTATTTACACACTCTATAAATATACTTGACTTTGTGCGGTTTTTTCCCGTGGCTGCTATATTTATAAACTTATGTATTTTTTAACCTAAGAGGTTAATAACACCCAGACACACACACACACACACATTTAGTGACCATATATTCATTTACTTCCCACGTGTGCTTTCAGTGTTCTTCACAACAACTGTGTACCCACAGATTTGGTAGATGATCACAAGGACATCTGTGTGCCAACATGTACCATGTGATGGCTGAACTGTGTTGCCACTGAGACTGTGGGTCCAGGGTTAGTTTAGCATCCTGTGTCTCTGTCCTGTTTTTCATGGTTCTGTTGTGATGTGCTCGATTTGGGGAAAGACAATTTTAGTTGACAGAAATAATTATTTATATATGGTTAAATAACTGGTACACCTTAAACAAAAATGAGATTCAAATACATAATTTGTTAAGGTCCTGTAATGGTAGCTACAGCATGGTAGACTAAAGAGCAGGGTTCATCTGTTTTCACATAACTCCTGTCATGGAGTGTGAAAGTTTCTTTTGTCTGTGTGAGACACTTTCTCACATGCTGGAAATGCTCTGTTTGTTTAAGGTTAGGGGGCGCAGGTGGTCTGAGCGAGGATTTATCCATAATGATCACTATTTTCATGTTAATATTGTAAGTCTGTTAGCCTACATGTAGTCAAACATGTGCACAAGATGTTTGAAAGAGTAAAAAGCGCTATAAAGGTGAACAGAAACCTTCGGAGAGGCATACTGACAAACTTCCAAAAAGTTGTAGCTGTGTACTCATGTACATCTGAAGTCATATTACTTAGAGGGTGGAAAAAATCTTTGAAAAGCAGTCGTTAACAAAAGAAATGCCCCGCTCCCTGTGTCTCACAGAGATAACCCCATGTATACCACATGCATGAAAATCTAACATTAACAATCAGGAAAAGTCTACCAATTATTAAGTGCATAATAAGTCCCCTTTCATGAGTAACGGCCAATAAATGCTAGCCTAGCCATTTGTAAAGATATTTTGGTTGATGGTGGCCATTTTTATAACCACTCTTGCTCTATTATTATTGAAATGTTGTTCCCCAGGCTGTATGCCAATTTTAAAAAAATAATATTCAAATTAGCAAATCATCCAAAATGGTGGACTTTCATTGTCTAAGAGAGTTTTTTGTGGAGCACATTATTAATAAAATGTATGTGATACCTGATAAATCAAATTCATTTTGATTATTAAAGTAGAAAATTATTATTATAGGGTTAGGGTTATTATTATAATTATTAATAATTAATAATTATTAATATAATTATTAAAATAATTATTATAGGCTGTAAGTTTATTTGTACGGCAATGCTTCAAATTCTGTTCCCTGTCTGCAGGTCCACCTGGAAATTGCACCTGAGAATTTTTCGACTGAAGGTTTTGATGAACTGAAGGTCAGCAATGCACTGCGTTATGAAGTCTTGACAGAAATCCTCATATCTTTGGGACTCAGCTGTGAACTAAACCATGATCTGACTCCAACCCCAGTCCACTTGCTGGCCATCTCTCTGGTAAGAGTCAGAGTCTCTGTCAGTACTTTGTTAGGCCACAGGATTAAAAGAATACAGTAAAACATGCACACTATGAATATTCTTCATCAGTGATGATATCAGTCCATGTTATGTGACTCTCTTGAAGTTGCCTCATAACTATTTTAACCCATGGCTTGTCCAAACGAATGGAGTTTGTCTGGCATTTACACTTATCATTTTTGTAGCAACATGACCCTACTGAGAATAAATAACAGTTCAATTAACTATCATCTTACCATTCATCTACTCATTAACTCATCCATTCATATACACACTTACACGCCAAATGCTCATTGTATCTTTTCTTTCCTCTACATGGCTGGCACCAACTCATTTTCACAGAAAGACGCGTAGTGAGTACCAGATTATTTGTATTGCAGTTAACTGTGGGAGTGACAGCACAGATATTCTACATCCTACACATATGTAAACAATTTGGCCATCTAAATGTATGCAAATATGAGCAGCTGGCTTATAGAAGGTCTGTGAAGGTCAATACAAAGATGTTAGGGCAGTAGGTCTGTCTTTGATCAGCCATCGTATTGACTGAACGCAGTCAGTGCTCCTTTGTTTTTGATAGCATTTGGTTAACCCTGAAGTTAACTATATCTTTTACATGTGCCTACTGAAGGCAGAAAAGAAAGAGTTCACCAGTAAGGGGAGTCAGAACACCAGTTTGCTGGCAGTAATATTAGCAGTAAGCAACCCTAGTAATTTCTTAAAGCAACTCTGGAAACATTCCCAAATCTGACCCCTCAACTACTATTGTTTCAATGTATTATTTGAGGAAAGAGCCTGGGTCTCCCATGGAAAAAACAAAATAGTATTAAAGGTTCAGTGTGTAAGATTTAGGTGAAAGGAATCTATTGGCAAAAATTGAATAGAAAATAATCCTCATGATGTTTTCATTAGTGTGTTTCATCGAAATTGTACGAATTGTTAGTTTTTTCTACTCTAGAAAAGGCCCTTTATATTTAAATACTTTAATATATTTACATCGAGGGCGTCCTCTCTACTGAGGATGCCATGTTTTCAACAGTAGTTCAGACTGAACAAACTAAACACATTTTGAGTTTTTCTGACAACTGAAGTCCACCACAGGTTCTCTTACATGTTTGGACGGGGAGGGTGAGGTGAAGGGTGTTCCGTAGCAACTTGCAATTTCACCACTAGATATCACTACATTCTACACACTTTATCTTCAAGTAAATATAAGTAGAATCAACATTAGTACTGCAGTTGTTTTTGTCTTTATTATTGAATTAATAAATTACTGTGTGATTGGCCCTGCTGCCCCAGCCAAACACTTTTGGAGTTTCAGGGGTAAACAGGGGTAAACAGCGTTGCAGCCAAATCCAATACAATTGAAGTAAATGGCGATCACTTAAAACGTGAAAAAACAACAGGAAAAAGAAAATAAAATGCCTCCATCCTGCTCCTGTGGTGTCATCCAAGTGTCCATAAGCCCTGACATTCAAATTCGCACATTTAGGCTAAAAACATGGTGTAAATGACGCAGTTTCGCGTCAAATTTGAATGTCAATCAATCAGTCAATCAAATTGTATTTGTACAGCTCATATTCACAAATCATAATTTGTCTCATCTGGCTTAACAAGGTGTGACATCCTCTGTCCTTAATCCTCAACAACAATAAAGAGAAAATAGCAAAAAAACTATTAACATGGGATGATACCACAGGGGGGTATGCTTTGTGTTTTTACATTTGAAGTGTATTGGATTTGGCTGCAACGCTTTTTAATACTTGTAGCAGGCTCGTGCCACCGCAGGTTCCTCGTCACAGTGCTCGGTTAATTTCTTTTATTTTCTTCTTCCACACACATATACACATGCATATATATATATATTGTCCTGCTGGACTTTTCCGGGTTGCCTCCAGCTTCTCGTCTGGTGTGTGTGTGTCTCGTGTCCCAGCACGCTACTGCTGATAAATGGGGGGGAAAGAGTAATTAACAAACGCAGTACACCTGTACACAATCACACTCAATCCCTGAGCAACCTGCTCAACTCTCTCCCTCCTGCCACCGACACTACCCACCCCCCACTACCACACCCCTCAAACTAAAAATGTGTTTTGTGGACTCAAACACTTCACCCACCCCTCCATCTGCATAGTTGTGAGTAGATGATGATACATTTTCATGTTTGGGTGTTCGTTTAACCCTCAACAAGAGAGGGGAAAAACTACCAAAATAATCCTATTAACAGGGGGATCCTTTTCCCAAGACGGACAGAAGTGCAATAGCTGAAAGTGGATAAATGTAAAATATATGTGTTTTACATATATAACAGAGGTCAGAGCCGTTGGGTAATGTTTTCTGGAGATGGACAGGTATAAAATATGTCCCGAGGACATTTTTGAAAAATTCAATCTGCAGTACTAAACATTACTCCCAGATCACGCTCCCACACCTTCAGCGAATCATAAAGTAAAGAATCACAATGTAACAAAAATGCATAAATCTTTGAGATTATACCTTTGACAGCTGAACATATTTTCCACTTCTGATAATAATTCCACATGTATCTCACCCATCTTCAGGAGGGACATTGTAAAGCAACACATTTGGAGATATTTAAGTCTTTATGGGTAATGTTAAAATAATTTCTAATTTGTGCTGACTTTATAGATTCAGAATTAAGCAGGCCCGTAAAATCTGAAAGACCCTTAGAAGTCCAATCCAATGGGCCAATACTTCTAATTTGTGCTAGAAGGTCAGGATTCAATGCCAGGGCAGACTGAGCAGAAATAACAGAAGTAATATTTAAGTATTTTCTCACATCTCTCCAAGCAACTAATGTGTTGTAAATTATTGTATTTGTTAAGAGAATTTATCTGATCTATATTGTTAATAAAGGGGAGGGTTTCAGGTTTTCTTGGATAACATGATAGGGACTCAAGGCCTAGCTTAGAGAACCTAACCTAGTTACCTATAACCTAATCTAGTTGTTTTTGGCATATAAAGAGATTATCAATGCTAGAAGTTTTGAAATAATGTACAACTATCAGTGCTCGATGTACATTGCCTGTTCCATATCTTGATTTCGGGTCTGTCCAGTCTGGTCGGAGTTTCTAAGTTTGGCGAGCAAGTGTTCAAGTCTACGAGCCAGTGCTTTTGCAATATTTTTTTAATCCACATTAAGAAGGCTGTTAGGCCTATAAAATGAGCAATCAAGGGGATCTTTTTCGTTTTTTAAAGGCAGGCTAATAAGGTGGGACACTGTCTTTTAGATTGCTGTTAATGGCAGGCATAAAAATAGGATGAATCTCTGGTCAGAATGTCTAAAAGAATTCAATAGGAAACCTATCTGGGCCTAGACATCTCCCATTTGGCATAGTCTGGATTGCGGCCCAGACCTCCTTTCATGTGAATGCAGTATTTAAATTGGAGCATTGACATTAGTCTTTTCAGAGCTGGAGAGGGACATATACAAATCTTGAAATGATTAATAAATAACACAAAATAGTGCCACACGAGTGGTTGTTGTACTGAATTTTCAACTGGCGGGCAAGAAAACGACTGGACCAAATTACATAATACTAAGTAGTAATTTTTGAATCTGACTGGTATGATCCAAGTTGAGTTTAGTCTTCTTATTCACTAAAGCTATCAAATAGAGAACAGTTTATTCCTGACTGCTTAACTTAACTGAACTGCACTGATGTCCCTGCCTGACTGTGACACTTTACAAATAACAATAACTTCACATTTTGTACAATCCCTCCAGCTTATAATATATTTTATCTGCTCATAGTATTTTTTATTTTCGCAGATAGTATTCTTTTTTATTTAATTTTTACATTTAATTTTTGTTTCCTATTTTTATTTTTTCTATATTTATAATTGCAAAATCTATACAGCAATCCCGGACTACATGTAGAAATTGATATGTAGGAAAGATATTCGAGTCTCGAGTACGAGTTATGAGGGTGTACTGTACTGTCCACTGCAGCTAGATGGGTACCACAGTTGCTGTAGTTGTCCTCTGTGGTGGAAACTCTGCCCTCTGCCTCCTCCATGCTCTTCTATAGGTTGGCCACTCAGCTAGCAAGATTAGACAGAGAGCACTAAATCGAAGTGATGGATGTTTTAACTTCACCCAGCAGTATCCAGGCGACCGCTGACTGAATCATCCATTTCATTCATACAGGAGGCTACAGTCTTTATTTTGGCTAGAATCTGTTCCATGGTTGTTGAGCCACTTAAAGGAGAAGTTTGGTTTTTTTTCAACCTTGACCTTATTTCCAGCATATGGTATGTAGATCTACTCACCCATAAAGGTTTGGAGTAACTTGGAGTCCTTCGGACGCTTTTAGATCCACACACGATCGGCGTACATCCATACAACGCAAGGGTTCGTGGCATCCACAATACAGCCTCTAAATAACGCATTATCTGCCGTGACACTCTTTATTTACTATGAATCGCTATGAATCCTCTCCTTTAACTTTGGGGTATTAGCCTCAACATGCTGGTCAACATTAGTACTACATGTGGCTGCCTGTTGGGGCCCTTTTACTCTTAACGAACTGAGGAACTGGAAAAAATAGGAAAATCTTTATCACGTTGTGGTTTAGGCATCTTTGCCTAAATAATTAACTCATAAATTCAATTTTGCATGAAGAAAGATTTATAGAAATGAAGGAAGCAGCAATGACAATTGAAATGGAGGCATTATTGCCAATAATGGTAAAATATGTGAGTAGTCATATAGCATATCAAGCATGTATGTAATCATAGTCCATGATCAGCTGCCACCACGATTAACAATCCATCATCATGATCCATCAAACTATCCATGATCAGGATCCACCATCATGATCTGCAATCCACCATTACGCTCTGCGATCAGCTACCACCATGATCAAGATCCTGATTTCCAGTCCTGGCTTATAGAGCATTGTTTTGTAGCTTTCATTGTTTTAAACACCCTTTTCCTATTAAATGTGTATCCCTCATCTTCTTATGTAAACACACGATAGAGTCTTTTTAAAACCTTTGTCCGCCTAGTACTGCTTTATAGTCGTCGTGAGGGAGGAGCTGTGCACCCTGGACATCGAGCTCCTGGCAGTCTCTCTTTGTCCTTTTTATCTCCCCAGAGATTTCCACAGCTTTTTCTTGTTGCTAGTGCAGCCACTGCCACTGAATGCACCAAGAGTACTACTAAACAGACTTGAATTCATATCCCCTGACTCCCCCACCCTACATTACCAAAGACCTCATGGAAATCATCAACAGAAGGAAAAGAGTCTTCTTTACTGGCTCCAAGATGGAAAAAAGGATGTCAACCAATAGGTCAAATGTGCCTTCAAATCCACCAAGCAGAAGTAGAAATATGAGTTGGAGGAAAATTCAGACTGGGGAACGTCCACTCAGCTTGGCAGGGCCTCAAGAACATGGCTTCCATGACTACTGCTGTCACCACCCATATGGATCTCCAGGTTCCAGGTAGCAGTCCCACATCCCTTCCCGACGATCTCAACTCCTTTTACACCAGATTTGAAACAGACAACTCCACCCAGCTTGAGGCGGCAACAGCCTCACTCAAACCTGGTGACCCTGCACTCATCTTCAACACACTAGATTTGGTGAGAGCCCTCAAGAGGACCAGAGAGATCAGCTTCCCTGGCCCATACAACATCAGTGGTACTGTCCTGAGGTATTGTTCTGAGCAGCTAGGGGGCGTGTCCCAGATCCTGTTAGCTCCATGGACAGCAGCACAGTCCCTTAGCTGTGTAAACACTCCACTGCCATCCCAATCTCAAGAAAAGCACTACCAAACCTCTGAACGTCCTCAGACCTGTGGCTCTCACTTCCCTTGTGATGAAGTCAATGGACAGGGTCATAAAACATCACAAAGTAACTGACTCCTTGATGGACCCACTCCAATTTACATTTGCAAACATTTGTCAAGCATCACAATTCGTGGTTACATCCACAAATGCCAATTAAAACTTGACTGTGCTAAAGCAAGCCTTATGTTAACCGTGTCCAGAAGCACCGTCGACTTCCCTGGACTCAAAGGCTTCTGGGATGAACCTTAACACAGTGGAAACGTTTATTGTGGTCAGACGAGTCAGTATTTCTGCTCCGGACCAAAAATGAAAAGGACCATCCAGACTGTTTTCAGCAACAAGTCCAAAAGCCAGGGTCTGTCATGGTATTGGTTGTGTCAGTGCCCTTAGCAGAAGTAACTTACACTTCTGTGATGGCACCATTACTGCCGAAAACTACATAGAGATTTTGGAGCATCACATAAGACAATGCAAAACCAAATCCTGCAGACATTACAAAGGCATGGCTGCGGAAGAAGAGGGTGGGGGTGCTGGACTGGCCTATGTGCAGCCCGACGTGTCCCCAATAGGGAATGTGTGGCACATTTTGAAATGCAAAATGCGACAACAGGCACCCCGTACTGTTGCACAACTTAGGACTTCTTTACAGGAAGAATGAGACAAAACGACACCTGAAATGCTTCATCACTTGGTGTCTTGAGTCCCTTAATGTATTTTAACTGTTGTGAATGATGGCAACATTACAAAGTATACAAGTTCAATGCTTTGCTGTCCCAACTTTTTTAGAAATATGTTGCAAGAATCAAAATTGAAATAAGTGTTTATTTTGAAAAAACAATCAAATTCATGAGGTCAGTGGCTATGTTTACAGTTGCCACGATTAATTGCTACCCATGTGCATTTGTTTTCAACGAAGCCGATTGCAGTAGAGGCAGAGAGCCTCCATTCTCCCCGTAGCAAGTCATTTAACCATCACAATTACTCCCAAGCTGTTCAATAAATTCATAATTTAAATATCTGTCTGTTCCTCAACTTACCTCTTTTATCGATCCGCAATTCTCAATCAAATTCTGCTGCCATGATTACACCCTACTCTGCCTCGGATTGGCTCTGACCCAAATGATAGAGGCACAGAGAGGGGCAGTAAATTATGAACAGAGCATCTACAAACTGTAAAAAAATAAGTTTGTGGTGCTGTGGCCGGGCTGTGCATCTTCTCCTGGCTGTGGAGCTGTCCATGGTCTCTCTGTCCGTCCTTTTTAGTTTGTGGACATTTATTCACCTTGTTTTCCTTGTGTTTGGGTTTTGTTTGGTTGGTTACTCTGAGTTCTCCTTTTCTGTTTTCCCACTCTTATGATCATCGGCACCTTATGTGTGTTCCTTATGTGTTTCACCTGTTTTCAATTATCCCTGCTTCCCTTATGTATTTAAGTCTCTGTTTCCCTTGAACCTTGTTTCACTTCAGTAGTGTGTTCCAGCCATTTCTAGTTCCCTAGTGTCTATCTGTGTTTTTGGCCAAATTAAAAAAAGTTTTTCACATGAACCCGTGTCTCAGGCATTTGGGTCCACCTGCTTACCACCCTGTAACAGCATGCCAATTTTAATCTGTGATGGTACAATCCAAAATTGTGATGAATTGACATGAAATGGCCCATTTGACAGCTAGTCTGGCCTTTGTTGTAAAAAGTGTATCTGTAGAGAAATGGTTGCCATATTTCATATAAAAGAAACAAATAATGGTGTTATTGTCCTTCCCTACTTCCCTGTTGTCCACACAGGAGGAAAAGGCCTACTTCCTGAAGTGGCTGGAGACACAAGCAGATCAAAATGGCTGCCTCACATTGTCCAAGCAGGCCCTGAGAATGGTATCCTGCTCTGAGCTGCAGGATGGTTATTTGTTGCGTGAGGGTTCTCTGGACCTGGTGACTGACTCGTCCGAGTCTCAGAGCTGGGCAGAGTTCAGAATGGAGACCTACAGAAAAAACCTACAGACCAGTCTACTCGGGCACACCCTGTTGTACACTGAGATGGTATCGTCCACGATGGACCTGTTAGAAGGGTAAGACACATTCCTTTGAATCTGTTTGATATTTAAAATAAAACATGCCGAGGCAGGCAGCATGGTATTGTCATAGTCAAAATTGTGACTTTGTGTGACCAACTGTGATTGCTGTAATATTACTGATCAGCTTACTAGGGCTGTCAAAATTGCTCCAAAATGACGTGTGAATATTCGCTCCAAAAAAACACATAGGTTCGAACCATTCGAATATATATGCGCATGCGCATTATGTCAATAACAGGAGGACAAACTAATGCAACGAGACATAAATAGTTGTGTAGGTATTTTTATTTCAGTTTTAACATAAAACATACCTACACATTACAAAATAAGTAAAACTAACCGTAAAACTTAGACCGTAAAAAAAGACCATTCCGTCGCTCGCCCCCCTCTCTTTCTCTCTATGCGCGATGCGCATACAGATTTAAATAAACAATTTGTTAATAACAGTTGGTAATAACAGGTCTCTGTGGCTGACGTGAGCTGAAGGTTGTGGGAGTTTATGTTGCAAGTTTAGGGGGCACGTCAGCCAGAGCTGTAGTGGGTGTGTATGTGAGTGAATGAGTGAGGGAGACTGCTACCTGCTGAACAGAGGGTCGCAGAAAGAAGGATCTGACAAAACCCAGCCGAACCGATCCGAAACCAGCCCAAATTTTTATCCACCCGCCTGGCAACCCTGGTCGTGTCTCACTTTCAGCAGTGAGTGATGCTGTGCAAGTGCAACTCCTTTGGACTGTCCCAGTGTGCCCACTCACAAAGCAGCCGCTTATGTGTTGTTTTCCACAGTCGAATATTAATTTTCACAGTCGAATATCCGTTTTATTTTAATATTCGAATATATATTCGAATTTAGAATATTCATTGACAGCCCTACAGCTTACACAATGCAATTCAACACCCTTAATCACCATTACCTGCAGCTACTCAAAAAAGTATTCAAAAACGACTTACTCACTGAAAGCTGTACCCTTTCCTTTTTTGTTTTTAAGTCTTATTTGCTCTCGATAGCCATGAACTAAGATATTGTTTTCAGTTGTCTATGTCTATGTTCATGTACAACATGATATATCAAGAGAGACTTGAGGAGATTTCTTAAAGTTTGGCATTATTGCTGTAACAATACAGAAATTACGATTTTGACACAATACCCAACTAAATCTCAATACTGACCCAATCAATACCACAGCAAAAGCGTAAAACAAGGAAAAGTAATAAAATAAACTAATTTGACTAAATGGAAAACACATTCAGTAGAGTACAGACCTCCACCAAGGATATGTATAGAGTCATGCATTTTGTTTGCATGCAAGTCTTTCTGCCAGAAAATCTGTCAGATTGAGAGACATCGAATTTAGTTTTATTTGTATTGCCCCAAATTATAACATATATTACTTCTAGGCACTTTACAAAGAAAAGTTGAGACCGATTACAGATTACAGTTTGGCAACTGTGGAGAGACAATTAACTGGAAGACAATCTCCAGCAGAACCAGACGATGTGGGGCGAAGAGAAAAAAAGTGGAGGAGAGGTGGGAGAGGGGGAGAGTTTGTTTTGATACAGCCAACATGTGAAACAATGACAAACCCACCTTTGACTGCCCACTTTTTGTGCAGGTGCTTCACTGATAAAGAAATGGAGATTAATTGCCATAAACATCAACTAATAATATCTATGCTATGCGAAGACGGACTAAAGTGGAAGACCAACTGAAGACTGTGTATAAGAAAGGGATAAGCAAACTTTGCTGTGATCTGCTTGGGGAGCAGCATCGGAGACGGTGACACCAACAGACTTAACAAGCTGATTAAGAAGGCTGGCTCCATCATTGCTGCAAACTGGACTCGTTTGAAGTGGTGATGGAGAGGAGGGTGCTGCACAACACAAATATTACAAATTCAGAAGGTAAAACTTTAAACTAAAGATGCAGCAGGGTGTTTGAGATCTGTAAAATTGAGTCTGTGTGTGTTAGTCAAAGATCACACTGACTTGGGACTGACCATGTCCATACCTTTATGACCACAGTGTACCCATCTTCTGATGGCTACTTCCAGCAGGATGCACCATGTCACACAGCTCACATCATCTCAAACTGGTTTCTTGAACATGACAACAAGTTCACTGTTATCCAGTGGCCTCCACAGTCACTAGATCTGAATCCAATGGAGCACCTTTGGGATGTGGGGGAACGGGAAATTCGCATCATGGATGTGCAGCCGACAAATCTGCAGCAACTTCGTGATGTTATCATGTCAATATGGACCATAATCTCTGAGTAATGCTTCCAACACCTTGTTGAATCTATGCTATGAAGAATTAAGGCAGTTCTGAAGGCAGAAGGGGGTCCAACCCGGTACTAGCTAGATGTACCTAATAAAGTGGCCGGTGAGTGTAGATTCATCAGAGCGAATGATAAACCTTTGTCAGCTGCTGGAGCTGATTATAACCAATCTAACATAGTAGCAGTGTGCTCACAGCACCACAGACTGTGTGAATCATTCTACATCACCAACACCAACGGGCAGAGCCAAGGTGCATGGCTGTGTCTCTTGGGGCTCTGAGCAGGTGGACACAGCAGAGGAGATGTCACCACCACCGAGGGGCCCAGGGCACAAATGGGACCAGGCATCAACCTTGCAGTCGATGAGGGACCCAGGGCACGGACAGGACCAGGTGTTGGCCTCGCCATCAACAAGGGACCAGGAACAGGGGCTGGCATGGCACCTCACCATCAACTAAGGACCAGGAACCGGTGCCACCTTCACCACCAACCGGGGAGCAGGAACAGGCTTTGGCTTCACACTAACTGGGCAAACCTACAGGCGTTGGCTTCACCACTGACCAGAAAGTAGGATTAGGCATTGGATTGACTGCCAACCAATCAATAGAACACAGAAAACGAAGTGACATTAGACAGGACCCTGTTCCGGCATCCCTGGAAGGAGCAGGCTGTAGGTCAATAATAGTGCAGGACAGTCAAGGCTTTGAGCTGGGCACCTGAGTCTGGTTGCTAGCATATTGCATGCTAGGCCGAGGAGCAGACTCTAGGTGGCCCAAAGAGTCAATTTGCCGTGTGCCATGAGGAACCCCAAAACGGTCCAAAAGAAATTAAACAACATTCAAAATTCAACATGCAGGGAAACACTAGGGAACCAGGAAAATCAGAAAAGCATTAGTGATAGGAGCAAGATGAACAAGACAAATTGACAAAGAATTAAAACTATTAAGTATTTTAATAAATTATATTAGTTACATACATTTTTTAGAAAAGCCAACAAAGTACTTATGCCCCAGCTAACTAGTCGCTGATGAGACTATTCAGTGTTGGGTCCAGGTACAAAGTATGACAATAGTAATTTAAATTATGATTTTAATCTTTTCACTAAGGGCAACAGAAAGGGTAACGCTAAAGGAAAGTCCCTAACTAAAGATGTAACAAAGAATATCATTAACTAGTGATAGGTAGGTTTTAATATGGCTTGATTCTTTTTGTCTCCCTTCAGGTTAACTCTACGTTTACCAAAAGATGTGGGTTTAATAGCAGTAGCTGGTCGACAAAGCCAGGGAAGAGGTCGGTTCTTCAGCTCAATGTATAAATGAACATTTAATATTCACTCACACTGTCAGAAGTGTGTAACATGTTTCCTTTGCTTGCTACTGCTTCAGGTCGTGGCAAGAACACCTGGCTCAGCCCTCTGGGATGTGCTATGTTCACTCTAAAGATTCAAGTTGAGCTGAGCTCCAGGCTCGGGCAAAGGATTCCCTTCCTCCAGCACCTAGCTGCTCTGGCAGTGGTGGAGGCTGTTCGCACATTGCCTGGATACCAGGTAGCAGCCTACACACTTCCCTTTACCAGTTCGTTCATGTATAATACCCTATCTCATGTAATTTAGCCCATACACTACAAACACCAAAGACATTCAAATATGTGGCTGCAGTAACAGTATGTTGAACTTCAGTGCATTAAATATTAAATGAAGATGAATATTTTCATGTTTCAACATGTTTCAACCTTTGTCAGGACATAGACCTGCGAGTGAAATGGCCCAATGACATCTACTATAGTAACCTGATGAAGCTTGGGGGAGTACTGGTGACTTCCACTGTTATAGGATCGACTTTTCATCTGCTCATAGGTAACAACCCTCCCTATATTACAGCTAAAGAAACTGGAGGCTTTCCCTGAAAGCTTTATCAGCTTTTCACCAATATATCTACCATCTCATAATTAAACAAACACACCTCTTTTGGGCTGATTACATTTGTGCACCTTCAAACCCTGTAAAAGCTTAAAGTTATTTCTCTGAGTGCATGGTCACAGATTAATTTAAATATAGTGTGCTGTCAATTCATGGGACTGAATTGTCCAAAACAGGTAAATGGTAAGATTTTCTGCACAATTACAACATTATTTGTCAACTAACAAACGAAACAAAACACACATTCCTGTATATGAGAATCCCCACACTACTGTCTAACATGTGAACAGGCAACATATTCCCCATCCAGTAAACCATGAAACTGATGAGAATTTTTGTTGGTTCATTCACATTTAGAAGTGAGTGACCAATGTAGTCATTATTTCAATGGCAAAATAAGTGTGCATTTAATCAATAATGCAACCTCTTAAAGAACAGATAACTGTCTTCTCCTTTTGAACAAAGCACTGCTCTTTAGCTGTTACAGCAGACCAGAATGTTCCTTTTCTAATTCTATTATGTCTGAAAAAAAACTTGCATTGTGGTTCACCCACAATCTAATAGTCAATAAACAATAATCCTAGAATGGATAATGAATATGGATTAATGCTTATGAGAAAGCCAGCTCTCTCAAGGTTGATCAGCAACCAGCGACCATTGTCTTTCAGCAATTGGAGATAGACCATAGGCAGTGGGACTGTGTAGAGTCAAATGATATTTTCAAGTTTCAGAAACAAATAGCTCCATTCGTGATCAATTTTGTGTCATAGTAAAGGGGCTGCATACAACTTACAACTTGTCTATTTATAATGATAAGGGGTGGGACAAATAATTAGTCAACTATAGTAATTATACAATCCTTCTCAATATTTTATCTAGTATGCACCAGTCAAATAGTCTCATTTTGTTTGCTCAGAATAACACAATCAAACATATTGTGCTCTACAGGCTGTGGGTTCAATGTGACAAACAGCAATCCAACTGTCTGCATCAATGACCTGATCCAGCAGTACAACACACAGTATAACTGCAGTCTGGAACCGCTCAGCTGCGCACAACTCATTGCTCGCACTGTCAGCTGTCTAGAGGTCCTCATCAGCAGCTTTCAACATGGAGGCCCGGATGCAATCCTGCCCATATACTATAAGAGATGGCTTCACAGGTGAGCACTGCAAACATTACTCTGGACTTTATGCTCAGGTTTCACTTCTCATTTTGAATGTATCAGAAATTTTGATACAGGTTGTACATGCATACAAGCTATTTATTTAGGTGCAAGGGATGCATCAATTTAAATGTTTCATCTCTGAATAAGTAGTAGTAATGACTACGAAACAAAGTTGTTGGAATTCTTTTTTGCTCAGCATGTAAAATCTTGTCAAACATGACAAAGATAATAGAAATTGACATGGACAGCAGTGACACTTCAAAATGAAACTTCACAATATTTGGACAGGACAATATCACATACAGTGACGTAATGGTGCAGAGAGTTTTAAATGCATGTACATCAGGATTGTTGCAGAGACTTCAGAGTCCTTATGGTTGTGGGGAAAGACTATTTTTGAAATGGGATGATTTGGTGGGAATGGATCTGTAGTGATTATTGTTTGTGCCCTTGTGATGGTGCATTTGTGGTAAAGTGATTCAACAGATGGAAGTGGGGTGCAAGTGATCTTTGATGATTTGTTGACAATTTTGCAGTTTGTTCCAAACTGTTATGGAAGAGGTGAGTATGGTTTCAAAGTAGTCACTCGTGATTGAAAATTGTGGTGGCAATTTCTGTGAAACAWGCACAAAGTCAAACACTTCTTTCTGAAAGTTTAATTCAGCATCTGCAGATGGACTCATCAGTACACATCATCTGAATGACATACACAAATGAGCAAAGAACACAGGAGAATCTGTGTTCTTATAACTCTCAGCCCCCTCCCACTAAGCATGCAAAGGTATTTATTACCCTCCTGTTGTTTCACTCAGTGGAGGAGACATCCTGTCCATTTGTTTACTACATGTTCTGTGGATGACCCCCCCCCCTGTGAGACCCCAGGTGTGAGATCCCAATCAGAGATACCATGAGAAGCCATAAAACTCAAGTCTCTTAAGCAACCATCCTAAACCTTAAGGTTGCCCTTTCAGATAAACAATTTGGTGAACCATTTGGTCAGTCATCCACATACATGTCTGCTAATGCAATTAAACATTCACAAATGTAAAAATTCCCATTACAGTATTCTCTGAATTCACCAGCACAAATGGAACTAAAGCCAACACTGCCCACCTTTCTCGCCGGCTAACTGACCTATTAATGACTATCGGTACCATGAGTAGATCCCTTCAAAATTAAACTGCGAACAGAGATTCTGTATTTCTTTTGATTTCCTGTTATGCTTTGATTTGCGGGTGTCCACCAAGTGGCAACATCCCGGGCTGAGCGATGAGGCCAATACAGAAGTGCAAATAACTGCAGTTCACTGGGTGGCCACTTGAGGCTGGCTCCAAGAGGGAGTCAATTCCCATTGACTCCCATGTTAAAAAGCCCGACTTTAGAGCAGAATTAAACGTGTTTACAGCCAGGTTCAAAAAACGAGTTTAGTCTCAATCAGTAAGTTCTTCCTTCATGACGACTCTGGGGGGGGGGGTGAATTTTTTTGTTACTCACTCGTTTAGATAATATAGAGGTTTGAAATTGTGAATAATTATCACTTGATTGACACGTGACGTCACCGTTAGCTCGTCACTCTGGCTGTTAGCCTGTGGTCTGCTCGGCTTCACCTGAGCTAACAGGCTAATCCCCGTCACCGAGCACGAGCGGAGTCTGTGGAGGAGTTTTCACTCACATGTCGGATGAATATCATCGTTTGTTGTTCGACTGATGTCCTGACGGAGAAGTGGAAGACGTCTGTGCTGCAGTGTCTGTGGTGAGTAAAGTACTGTCTTTGATTTACGTGTCAGTAGTGATGAGCAGGTATCATTGTGTCTGTACCTGGCTGGTTAGCTTAGCGCCGCTAACCTCCAGGCAAGATACCAGCAGTAACGGCGATGCTAACGGGAGGGACGAGAGTTATTAACCCGACATGACGCGTCCACACGGCGGAGAGAAGCGTTAGAGTTTATGGTCATAAATCTTTTAAACTGAAGKCGACTGTGTGTTTAGTGAATATCATCAAGTTAGATATCTAACGTTATGTAAAGTTGTTCAGCTCGCCAACCTATTTGGCTTGACTACGTTACTGTGAGTAACTTCAGTAATAATGTTTTATTAGATTATTGTTTCAGAAATAACGTTAGTGCAGCTGTTGCAGTGTGAAACTTGTTGAGCTGGACTTTATTTATGAATGAACAGTTTACCTACCAGGTATAGACCTGTTTTCATAACTTTCTAACAATTAAAGCAAATTATTGCACATGATGCATTACATTGTATATGAAATACTTTTAATGTGAAAGAACTCCATACTGCACATTCATTGTCTTGGTAGTACACTGTTTAATCCCAAACCATATTCAAATACATAGTTGAATATCCACAGAATATAAGGACATAGACTTTGTTTGAAAGTAACACTTATCTCTGCAATAATTCCATACTTTTATGTTTCCTGTCATTTTATTAGGGACGGACGAACCTGAGGGACACAGCTGAGCTTACCGTGTTCTGTCTCTTATGGCAAAAAAGAAAAGACAACACTTTTTATCTAAGGTTTATCAAATCAGAAAGTAAAAGATGAACATTGTTGTGATTGTGTTAATTTTACCAACCATAATGGATATATAAATTGTGTATATTAAATTGGATATATTAAATATGTGGTATGATTATGATAATAAATAAATCAATAGGTTTTGTTGTTATAAAGTTTCTGGGTAACTTACCTCTGTTCGGTTCATGTTACGACCGCGACCATCCCGGAGCAACAACACCGCAGCGCTAGCCGGTTAGCAGTCGCTGGTAGCATTTAGCCTAGCTCCTTAGCCTGAGCTAACCAGGTAACGATAAGCTCTGTGGGCGTGGCTCAGTTGTCAGTCTTCACTCGGCCCGCCTAGCGTCCACTCGCGCGTCTCCTCTTTGCCCATTTATGGGTTAGCCAGGAACTAGGAGGAGTCAGGCCCCGGCAAGATGGCGCTGGGTGAAACGCCCACTACGAGCCTCATTTTCACTCTTCAGAAACCAACGGGTGACGTCACGGACACTACGTCCATCTTTATATACAGTCTATGGTGTCCACAGAGAAACCTGGAGCCAACTTTTGAGGGGGGGTTTTTGTGTTGGTCAACTGGACTGAACGGTGGTGGTAAAAAAACAAAAAGTACTAAATGGACTGTATTGGAATGTACAGGACTACCAATTTGACGATAAGCCAGAAAATGACCGTGCATGGTACTCCTCATTCACCAATACCGCTGGTGAAGTTCTACTTGCAGCAACCCAAGAATTGGAACTCATATGTTCAGATGGCTGGGAAAGGAATCTGGTTAACAGGTGAAACGGATAGCATAGGACAGACTAAGTGATTGCTATGCTGCCCCCAAAATCATTGTAATGTTACTGTTTCAACGATGGGCAGTTTTCCTAAGATTCCAGCCAAGACCACTCCAAATTATGTGAACTCTGGAATTTGCGAGATCCAAGATGCTAAAGAAGATGGTTATCTCACTGGACTGTCGTATCTGGACACTTTATGTGTAATTGGACCAATCGTGGACACATGCAGGACATTCGGAAACAAACAACTCGACAAAATAAAGGTCTCACTCAAGGAGAAACGTATATGTTTGAAATGTTGTTCTTTCTTTCTCCCACCTAGCAACTAGGCACTGAAAGAGGTAGCGTGAGAATGATTGTCACCGTTTGTGTATATGTGTGTGTGTCAGTGTGCGGGTGAACTGCTGGTGGTCAATGACAGAGCTGCTCCATGACAATATCCCCATTCTCCCTGAGATTGGTACTGTGGAAGTCTGCCACCAGATTAGTCTTGCCTGATTGATGTCAGACCATCGAGTAGGACAACTAGGTGAGAAATTGGAAAATCCATTTCCAAATCAAACACACGTCCAAGCAGGTAGTATTGCAGACTTTCAAGTGTCCATTTAATGGCCAGGCCTTCCTTTCCACTGTAGAATACCCAGTCTCACATGGCTGCAGCTTGGGACTCATGTATAGGATTGGATACTCCTCTGTAGGGTCTCCTTGGGCCAGTAATACTACCAGGCCAACTGCAGACGCATCCACCTGTACCAGAAATCTTCTGTTAAAGTTTGGACTCTTGAGGACTGGAGAAGAACAGAAAGAGGCTTTTAAGCTCCTGAAGGCTGTTTCACAGTCATCTGACCACGACATTGTTCCTTTGGTCTCTACTGGTCAAAGCTGTGAGAGGGGCAGCAATGGTTGCAAACTGGGACACAAACCGCCAACAAATCAGAGGAAGAATCGTACCTCTTTTTTGTTCTGAGGTCGAGGGCAGTTCCAGATAGCTTCCACCTTATCAGCTTGTGGTAGCACCTCTCCTCTTCCCAGTTGGTAACTGAGGTACAGTGTCTTCTCCCGTGCCCATTCACACTTGGAGGGATTGAGTGTCAGCCTTACATTTTGGATCTTCTCCAGGACCAGTAACAGGTGTTGGAAATGCTCCTCCCAGGTGTTGAAGATGACCACATCATTCAGGTAAGCTGAGCAGCAATAATCACAACCATGGAGGACTCTGTCCATTGGTCTGTGGAAGGTGGCTGGTGCTCCCTGATAGGAGTCAAACTCTGGGATGTAGTTGAGCCTCTGGAAGTCAATGCATCTGCGGAGAGATCCATCCTTCTTATCCTCTCTATAATGACTGGACTGTACCACTCTGAGTGGGGAAGCTCAATCACTCTGAGTCTCAGCATCTCCTCCAGCTTCTGCTGCATTTTTCTGCTGTTATGGGACATGGTAAAGACGCTGGTGAATTGGTCTTCCATCCTTTAAGGAAATTACATGCTCGACAAGAGTGGTTCTTCCTGGAGTAGCAGCAAAAAGGGAAGGAGCTTCCTTGAAGACCTGGAGGAGCAGTGCAGCCTCCTCTTCTGGAAGATGTGCCAGCGAAGGCGTGGTAGTACCAGTTAGGTCTCCTCTTACTCCTCTATGACCACCTCTCTTACCAACTGAACCTTCCCTGGAGCCTGGATTGGACACTCCTTCAGTAGGTTCAAATGATACTTCTGTTTCACCTTTTTTTTCTGGGCAGTGAACCTCAAAGGAGACAGGTCCCACACCTCACGCCGATTAACTTCAGCCTTGTCTATGTATCTTGACAATCGATCCCTCATTCCCAGTACAAAATCCACCACCCCTCTGTCACTTGGAGTGGAGGAAGGGGCCTCCCAGCCTTTCCTGGAGCAGGTCCTATGGTCCCTGTACATCCCAGCCATACGGTAGCTCAAATGGGAAGAAACCTATTGAAGCCTGGGGAACTCCTTGATAGGAAAAAAGTAGGAATGGCAATCATCAGTCCCAGTCCCTGCCAGTGTCATTCACAAACTTCTGCAGCATCCTCTTTGTCTGATTAAAGGGGGCCCACAATATTCATGGAAATTCTGCGAAAACGAGTGGTTATGACAGGAAATGGCTGCAGAAAAGCCTGATCAGATTTTTGGCTAGTGCTAGTTTTTCAACATGTGGGACATATATGTCTGGGTGTCGGTGTACATTGCTGGCCAATATAAGCGTGAACTGATACTTAAAAAAGTCTTGTGGCGCTTGTGTGCTAGGTGCATAATAAGTACTCTACAACCAACGGCTATCACCAGACGTCTATGGTCATCATCAACCGCATAAAACACCACTGTATCAACAATAAAAAAAATGTTTTTACCCACATTTGTCTCTTCTTCCACCTAAGCAAACAATGTTTTAAATGTTTTATCTTGCCTCTGCAAAACAGCAATATTCTCAGGCACTTGCCACAGTTTATCACTCAGAAAAAATCTGGTACCAAACTGCGCTTAACTGGAGAGATAAAACTATACATACATGTCCAAGGTGGCGGCGCGTGAACAACGCGAGGCTCAGCGTCTCTCCAGAATCTGCAAAATAGTTGTTTTCTGCCTATTTGTTTCGAGTCTGATCACTAAGAACAGTCTCGCAAATATCTCATATAGTCGTCAGCAACTTTTGGATATCGGATCGTGCGATTCCRACCACTTTATCGACGGTCTCCGGCTCATCCCAGAGATCTCCAGGACAGCGGTAGCTATCAACCCRGCTACGCCGACCGGAAGTGCTCACAGGCGGCGTCAAGACCATAAACAAAAGCGGGGTAAGCGAGGAGGGCTACGAGCTAGGCTGCGAGCTAGGCTAAAGCTAACTCCTCACCGGCTTTCTCTACCCAGCATATTCCTCGCCAATGTYCGGTCTCTGGCGAATAAAATGGATGAACTGCGGCTGCGGATCACCACTCATAAATGGATTATGGACTGCAACGTCATGATCTTCACGGAAACATGGCTCAACAGCGGCGTTCCCGATAGCGCCATCGAGCTAACGGGGCGCTACATCCTCCGGGCAGATAGAACAACAGAGGACTCCGGTAAGACCAGAGGCGGTGGACTATGCATCTATGTTAACAAAGCTTGGTGTACGGACACTGCTATCATCGAGAGTCACTGTTCTGCTGACCTTGAATTTCTCATGGTTAGGTGTAGACCGTTCTATTTGCCCAGAGAGTTCACATCTACTGTTGTGACTGCAGCTTATATCCCCCCAGATGCTAACGCTAAGCTGGCAATGAAAGAACTGCATTCTGCCATTAGCAAGCAACAGACTTTGCATCCTGAGGCAGCCTTTATTGTTGCGGGTGACTTTAACCACTCTAACCTGAAGACTGTACTCCCCAAATTT